CTCAAACTCACAGTGATCCTCCTGTCTCAACCTCCTGAGTGCTGGGATTACAGGCGTGCGCCACCACGCCCGGCGAAAGTAGTCATTTTTAAATGCTATTAAATGGTTTAAAAAATAATGTATTTATTTAAACAATAAAAACTAGAGAAAAATCAAAGAAAGACTGCCCAATAGGTCAGGTCCAGCAGGCTGCTGTGCTCTGAGACTGCAATACTGTCAGCACTGGGCCTTTCTTTCAGAGAAGGGACCAGAACCCACAAACTTTGGCCTAAGGAATTCAGGTTACTATACAAACGTTAAGAAAAACAAAACCTCAAGCCAGAATAGTACCAAAATACTACTTTGACCTGTGTTTCAGTGACCTCAATCAATTATCAAAATGGAAGTATTTTACAGGTTATCTTGGTAAAGGAAAATTAAAATTAATTCCACAGGTCAGATACTCTGGACTAGAGAAATGTTTCTAGAACCAAGCACAACAGGAAGCAGCACTTGCTTGTGTATATAGTATATATTAACTAGGTTACAAGTTTAATGCCTGGTAAGTTCCGCGGTTTGCTTAATAATTTTAACAGTGTACTTACCTTAGAAGCTTGCCTTAGAACATCCACCACAACTTTAACCGGTAAGCCTGCTGTAATTTCTTTCATTGCCTCAATGCACCATTTGTATGCCTAAAATAAATTTAAGAAAAAACAAATGGTTATAAATCAAATTGACAGCACTGACAAAATGAATGAGAATTTCTCACAAATGTGTTTCGTGTTTCTAACTGCTTAAATAACACATACAAAACACACATAAAATTTTCTGAGGCTAAATTTTCTTTAAAGTATCAATTCGTTAAATTACTTTTACTCTTTTCCTTGAAAAAAAAATTTTTTTTTTGGTGCTAGGAACAGAACTCAGGACTTTGTGCTTGCCAAGCAGCAAGCCTGAGCTGTATCTCGGCCCCTATTTTTACTCTTAATACCTGAAACGTTTCAGAATCACCATTTGCTGGTGTGTGACATGCTCTTCTTTGTCCTAAAAGCCTTTCTCTGTTTTTTTGAGACAGGGTCTCGCTATATTGTGCAGACCAGCCTTGGACTCACTGTGTAGACCAGGCTGGCTTCCAACTCAGGGCAATCTTCCTGCCTCAGCCTCCTAAATGTTGGGATTACAGGTGTGCGCTGCCACGCCCGGCTTGTCCCAGAAGCCTTTGCACATGCCATTCCTTCTGCCTTAGAACGCATGCCCCTTTCCTCTAGACCTGTAACTCACCTAACTTGTCTTTCAGGTTTTTAGCCCTTGACGACGTTTCCTGTATTTTCCTTCTAGTGTAACACTTAGCAATATTTTATACTTTAACTGCCTTTTGAGGGCTTGCTTTGTGCTACTGTTCTAAGCACTTTATCTGTATTAACACATATAACTGAAACAATAGTTCCATGAAATGTGTACCATTATTACAGTGAACTGAGGTGCAGAGAAGTAAAGCGGCAGGCCATGAAGCAGCATCTAGCTCTGCAGCGGGGAACAAACAAAACCAGTGCGGGTGTAGTGGGCGCGCTTGGAACCCCAGCTACCCAGGAGACTCAGGTAGGAGAGATACAACTTTGAGACCTGCCTGGGGAAATTAAGCAAGACCCTGTCTCAAACAAAACTAAACAGACAAAAAAACCCCTTCTACACCAGTGATTAGCATAAGAAAAAAAAGGCAAATTATTTAGGGTGATGGCCACTGCTATAAAGAAAACAATTTCGTGAACAGATTACAAGGGAGAACGAGAGCCCAGCATGGTGGCGCACGCCTGTAATCCCAGCACTCGGGAGGCTGAGGCAGGAGGATCGTTGCAAGTGTGAGACCAGCCTGGGCTACAAAGTGAGCTCAAGGCTGGCCTGAACTGCATAGCGGAGACCCTGTCTCAAAAAAGACAAAAAACAAAACAAAACAAAAAAAACAAGGGAGAAGGAGAAAACACATTAGAAAATAATCATTTGTTCTCTTGTGTAAGTTTTTCTGCCCATTTCATTTAAGAGAAGTAACTACTTTTTTTTTTTTTTTTTTTATTTCATTTAAGAGAAGTAACTACTTTTTTTTTTTTTTTTTTGGTACCGGGAATCGAACTCATGACCTCAGGCTTTCCAGGCAAGCGCTTATGCCACTGAGCTATATACCCAGCCCTAAGAGAGGTAACTATTTAGAAGTAACTGTGGTATAAAAATGAAATAAGAGGCTAGGGATTTAGCTCAGTGGCACAGTGCCTGCCTGGCAAGCGTGAGGTCATGAGTTCAATTCCCAGTACCAGAAAAAAAAAAAAAAAAGAAATAAAAGGTATAATCACACTGAGATTTAGATTTGTGTTTACCAGATACTAAATACGCTTATTTGTTCCCAAGTAATCAGATGTAGTCTTTAGAACTTGGTATACATTAGTACTGTTTTAGACTATTTACTGTCCTTCCCCATTCTCCTCATTTCGGGAAGACACACTTCCCTTCCAAATGAAAGACTAGTGTGAGGCCAGGCGTGGAGCTCAGCTCGGAAGCAGAGCACTTGTCTGGTTCAATCCCTAGCACCAGCACCCCCAGCCGTGCTCGGCCACATGATCTCCTTCAGTCAACTACAATATAAGTAGGAATAAAATGGGTCATTTCTGGGAGAAAGGTCCCAGAGCCAGCTGTGCTCACGATGCTTCTGCCTGTGCTCCGAGGTTTACAGTGTTTCAGGTAATGTGCTGAACCACAGTGGGTCATCCTCAAAGTGCATATACCGTGTTAAGTGTGACTACAGCTCCCAATCATGAGCAAGAAAGACGTTTTCATTGTTCTAAGCCACTGCTATTTTGGGACTGACACTGCTTCAGTATATCCTACCTAGTAACAACTTGGTGATAATCCTTCACACTATATCCTCAGGGTATGTGTAGTTTCCTAGAGATATCAATGAAAAGTTGATTTATATTTAGAAGAAAAAGCTGTCAAAATTATCCAAGAAACATCAAAAGACTTTATTATTCTTCATGAATGTGTTGACAGTTGCAAAGACCATGAGTAAGGCATAGTATAAAGCCTTACAGCTAAACTTACAAAGAAAACTTTCGTTAAGCTGTCAGCAGCCTAGGTAAAGAAAAATGGGAACTGCTAAGTGAAAGCCACCTGAGAAGAGAATGGCAAGAATCAGCGCTCTCAGAGGCTAAAGCAGGGCGACTGCAAGTTCCAGCCCAAGCTGGGCAACTTAGACCCTGTCTCAAAACACACTTGACCTTAGCCAAAAGGCCGAGAAGCAATATCCTGTCTCAAAAGCAAATATAAAAAGGAGGCAAACTGTAGCTCAGCATGAAGGTCCTGGGTTCAGTCCAGAGTACCGCCTTAAAAAAGCAGTGGCAAGATATGAACTACTTTACGTAATAACAGAAGTCCTAGGGACAGCAGAAGGGTTGAAAAATGAATGAAATGAAATGAAGACATCAAAAGACCCTAGCATGGGGCTGGGGATTTAGCTCAGCGGCATAGCGCCTGCCTGGCAAGCGCAAGGTCGTGAGCTCGATTCCCGGTACTGGAAAAAAAACAAAAACAAAAACAAACAAACAAACGAAAAAGACCCTACAGATTGATTCCTGTGTAGAAACAGAAAAAGATGGCAGGCATCCGGAGAGCTTATAAGACAAGTGTCACTTAACACTTAATGTGATGTTTACCTATTTACTTTTGTGAAGCTAGCAGTCTCCACAAACGTCTTCTATGGTGAATGGTGTTGTTTTTGATGCATGAAAATCAGAGAAAGGGGCCAACTTCTACATCTAAACTGATGAACAGCTACACACACTACACATGAGGGCCAGCAAACAATTTACCAACAGAGTAAGTTCAGCAGACGTAGGAACTCAAAACCACAAACAAGCAGAATATAAGCTTCCTAGAAAAATGTGGGCAGGTTGATAAGTATCTTAGATGTTTACATGCTGGTTTGATGCATCCCCCCCCCCAGTACCAGGCATCAAACTCACAACCTTGCGCTTGCCAGGCAGGCGCTGTGCCGCTGAGCTAAATCCCCAGCCCTAGTTTGATGCATTCTTATACAAATACTAAAACTGGTTTAGGAGAGTGGATAAAATAGGAAATAAAGGAAAAAATATGAACAAAAGACAGTTAAAACAGTTACACTACTAATTTCTCAAAGTTCATTGACAAGATAGGTTTATGTTAATATTGTTTGGACAATTAAATGCTGATACCCGTACTCTGAGTAACTAATTTAAAGATAACAATACGTAGTGTATTTACCATTGCTACCCTCCTTTCATACTGTTTTGGAATTTTGGTTCTTTTTCTTTAAAATAAAAATTAAAAAATATAAAAGCTAAATGACAGCTATCTGATAGCATGAAATAATGGTATTCTTCCATAAATAAAGCAAAAAAAAAAGCAAAAAAAAAAAAAAAAGCAAACCAAACAAAGGAGTTAAGCACATATAGATCACTTGTCAATTATGTATTTATCACTAAAGCACTAATTTAACAGTAAAAAGCCAGGAATGAAGTTATCTTTTTCATAAGGCAATAGAAGTAAGACAATGAAACAAAGTATAAATACAATCTAGCTTTCCACTGAACTGAATGTTTTTCAGGTCAGGAGTGTTTATCTGGAACTACAAAGCTAATCAAAAACATTTATTAAGGGGCTGGGGATTTAGCTCAGCGGCACAGTGCCTGCCTGGCAACCACAAGGTCGTGAGTTCGATTCCCGGTACCGGAAAAAAGGCCAAAAAAAAAACCCAAAAACATTTATTAAGATCAGCAGAGTAAGCAGGGCCTGGGATGTAGCTCAGTGGCACAGCACTTGCCTGGCAAGTGTGAAGTTATAGGTTCGATTTCTGGTACCAAAAAAAAACCACCCCAAACAACAACAAAAAAGAAAAGCAGAGTACAGCTGTCAAAACAATTTAAGCAGAAAAACAACTGGTCCAAGAGTAGGGCGTAGTGCTGTGAGCCTGTTATGCTAGTACTCTGGAGGCAGAGGAAGGAGGAGTGCTGTGAGTTCAAGGCTAGCCTGAACTACACAGTGAGACTCTGCCTCAAAAAAACAAAAAAGACCTACAGTATATGCATATGTATTTAAAATCCATCTCACAAACACTCCTTTTGTCTAAATTTAAGTTTTCCATTACAAATGTGTATAATTTTTTTGCTTTTTTGAAACAGGGTTTTGCTGTGTAGTTCAGACTGGCCTTGAACTCACTTTGTAGCCCAGGCTGGATGCAAACTCACAACAATCCTCCTGCCTCAGCCTCCTCAGTGCTGGGATCACAGGAATGCACCACCACGCCCAGCCACAAATGTGTATAGCTTTAAGTAAGCCTAGTATTGTGCAAATAAATTTATAGAACATATAATAGATGACTATTTGATTTACCCTCTGGTTTTTTTCTTTCTTGCTTTTCTTTTTAAAGACAGGCTCTCTCTCTACCTAGTTCAGAGGCTAGCCTTACTATTGTAGCTCAGGCTGGCACTGAAGATTACAGGCATGTGCCCCCACCCCCGGCACTATCCTGTTTATAGGTATGTGGTGGAAACAAGGAAATGCACTGTAAAGCACTTACCTCATCGTAGTGACTTTTTGCAAACAGGAGGGCACACAGTTCTCCATAGAGTGCAGCTTTGTTTGCCTGCTGGCCGTGTTTTGACAGTTTATCCATATACGTCTGTGCTAACTTAAATGTTTCTTCACCCAAATGATATTTGCAGTTCCCATTTCGTACATGAAGTAACCTACAGAACATAACGAACAATCCTCTGTTCCTGATAGTTCAAGCATGGTGGAACATATAAACCCTGAAAGTCACTACACAGCACCTAAATGACAGCATAAATGCAAGAAATGGGGTAGCATCAGAGAAAACTGTCTGGCCCACACGGGTTGGTGAACGCCTGTACGGAAGCACAGCACACACTCTTCCAAGAAAGCACCCCACGGTTAATGTCACCCAGCTGTAGTCCCTATGGTCTGAAAATGTTCTGCAGCCTCTGTGTGCTGAGCGTGTGCTGCATCTCAGAAAGTAATCACTGCTTCAAGCCCTGAAACAACACCGTTTCAGTCTAAGAAGCCAGGAAAATAACAGAACGGGAGGGGAAAAAAAACAGCTCGAAATACTGTCACCACCATGACCTTCTGTTTTCATTTTCAGTATTTTTGTGTAAGATTTCCTCGGGGTTCTTGCTTCTGTTTTTCAGACGGAGTCGTACTATGTTGCTTCCTTGAATGTGAGATCCTCCCGCCTCCCTTCCTGGTGGCTGGGATTACAGACGCGTGGCACCACAGCACGCTACCACCGCTATTATGGGGCTTCATAATCACTTCTTTTGGCTGCTTTTTCCAGTAAGGGAAGTTCACTGAAAATAGCAGCAATTTCTCTTATAAACTTTATTTTCTGTGGCAAAAAAGAAATAGAGTTCTTCACAAAAAGTAACTGTACAACCATGCTAACAATTTAATGACACTTAGGAACAGTAAAATACTTTGGATCAGACTAAAACCCAGACAGCAACAGATGACATCTCTATACACTAGTCAAGACAGGAGAGCAGGAAGGAAGGAAGGAGCAGGGGGAGGGTGGTAAGTGGGTAACAGACATGATCAAAGTGTAAGCACTGCCACTGTCCCCCAAATGTGAAAGCACAGGGAGGCAGAGCAAGAAGAGTGATGACGGTGACCAGGCACGGCACACACATGCATGAACGTGATAAATGAAGCTGGGTAATCCCTATACTCCACATGCACTAAGGAGAATGTTAAATAAGGAGAACAGTGTCAGGATTGGACAAATACCGTAATTTTGGCTTGAACATTATGTGTATATATCAAGTCAATACAATTTTCTGACAATGCCTACCTTCAGAGGGAGGTATAAAAGACATTTAAAAGAAAACCAAGTTGCCTGCCAGCCCAGGCCCAGCTTGCTTCTTCCACATAAGCAATTAAAACTGGGTTGATTTTTAAGCCATCAGAAAGTAAATATAAAACAGGATTAAATATTAAGAAGCCAAATGGTGGCCTTATTAGAAAAGGCACAATATAAACATGACATGCCCGCACTGTAATTATTATTACTGCTATAAACTGGGAGGATGTACAATGCCACCCTTGATCTGTAGCCATAATCCAAAGAAGAAAACTAGAGTTGTGATCTCAGCAGGCCATAAACATCCAATGCTTCCACAGAAAATTTCCCCCCACCATCAAGGCCCCATGGAGTCGGGCCACCTCCGATGTGACTGCAGGTTCAAGGAAGGTGGGCAAGGCGTGCAGGGGTGGGGAAGGGCGATCAGCCATCACAGACAAACTTCTGAACTTTTTTTTGGTACCAGGAATCAAACTCAGGACCTTGGGCTTGCCAGGCAGGTGCTTGTGTTCCTGGGCTGTATCCCCGGCCCCTGAACTTCGGAACTTTCGGTGCGTGTCCCTTACCTTCCTTCCCCGCACCCTACCTTCACCAGGGTGGCAGGGCAATGTGCAACGTTCTCAGGCTCACGGGGAAACAGGATGCCAATCGCACAGGAGGAGTCAGATACAAACACAGGTCATCTGCTAAAGGGTGACAGGGGTATGCCGGACAGGGATTCTGATGGCTTTTCAGTTGCCTTTGGAAACCCAACTCCTTTAGGCATAGATTACTTTACGTTGGAGAGGGGACATTATTCTGTTCACAAGGGTTAGTAGTTGATGGTCACCCAGGCGGCCATGATATGAGGAAGAACGGGTGTGCCCCAGCACATCCTTCTATAACCAGAGTCAGCAATGACTAATAGCCAGTCCTTATTTTAAAGCCTTATCTAGCCGGGTGTGGTGGAGCATGCCTGCAATCCCAGCACTTGGGAGGCTGAGGCAGGAGGATCGTTGTGAGTTCAAGACCAGCCTGGGCTACAAAATGAGCTCAAGGTCAGCCTGAACTGCACAGCAAGACCCTGTCTCAAAAAGACGAAAAAAAAAAAAAAAAAGCCTTATCTATGAAGTACATAATAACAGTACCAGTCATTTCTATAATATTAGTAACAACAGTAATTTAAAAAAAAGAAAACCAAGTTGGCTTGTGGTGTGACTCAGTGGTAGAGTGCTTGCCTAGCATGCACAAGGCCTTAGGTTTAATCCTCAGCCACCCCACCCCCCCACACACAGTATTGAGAGGTAGGGAAGCATTCTTTAGGAGTATAAAATCTTAAGAGAAACCAATTTTTTCTAGCTAGACCAAAAATATAAAGTCAATAACTGAAAATGAGAAAAAATGCAAACCATCACTATTATCCCCTTTATAGTCAGGGAAACCAGAAAAACTTCAAAAGAAGCTAAAGACTATGGATTAGAAAGGAGCAGTCAATAAGGTGGTGAATACTGTACAGTACTCCTCCCAGTATCCACCAGTTGCCTGCTTTTAGAAAAGAATAAAATTGCCACGCACGGTGGCGCAAGTCTGTAAGCCCAGCACTCAGGAGGCTGAGGCAGGAGGATAGCTCTGAGTTCCAGGCCAGCCTGTGCTAGAAAGTGAGCTCAGCGCCGACCTGAACTGCACAGCGACACCCTGTCTCAAAACAAAACAAAACAAAACACAAGAAAACAAAACAAAGAAAAGCAAATCTGGCCTGGCATGGTGGTGCACGTCTATAATTCAGCAATCCAGCAATCCGTGGCTGAGGTAGGAGGATTGCTGTGAGTCCAAGGCCAGCCTGATGCATAGTGAAACGCTGTCTCAGAAACACAAAAGAAACAGAACAAGAACAAAAACAAACTGCCTCCCAAAGAGTAAAATCCCCAGAGTAATATACTAAGGTTAATCCAAAATTCTGGAAAATCATAATGTAGAATCCAAATGAAAGCCAAAATGTATGTAATAATTACTCAGGTTGCTATGGACTGGTGACGTGACTGGATTTATATTTATTTGTTTGTTCTGTGGTACTGCAGATTGAGCCAAGAGTCTTTGCATTGAGCTACAACCCAACCCCTTTTATTTTTTAGACAGGGTTTCACAATGCTGCCCAGGCTGGCCTTGAACTTAAGATACTCCTGCCTCAACCTACTGAAGAGTTGGGATTACCGATGTTCAACACTACTCACAGCTTGAATTTATATTTTAAAGTGGAAATGGAAAACCAAAACATTGTTTTAGTATACAGCTAACTTTTCATGCTAACAAGTATACATTATAAAGAGGCAATGTCAATTTGCTGTCCAACTGCTACTTCAGTTAGATGACCAAGTAGTACTGTACAATGATCTCTGTCAAAATGGAAATCCGCCAGAGGTGATGGTGCATGCCTAGAAGCCCACTACTTGGGAGGCAGAGGCAGGAGGATCACTGGAAATTCGATGCCATCCTGAATTCCTGAATGCATAGCTAGACTCGGACTCAAAAAACCACCACCACCTCAAAGGAAGACCAACTGTTGGAAAACAGAAACAAAATCTAGGAGAATAAAAATCCATTCCAAACAAAGGTAGTTCAAATGATGTTTTGAGAGACTGTTACCTATCATTACTGTCATAGTCAAGTATTAACTGTTACCTGTTATGCTCTGGTCAGATTTCTAGATACGGGAGTGAAGTGCTAAAAAGGAGAGAAGAAAGAATCTGTGCACACAAGAGACTTCCATTCTAGTAGGAAGAAGGGTGGCAGGGTAAGCAGACAAACATAAAAATAAGGCTTTCATCTAAGGCTGTTATGAAGGTAAGAAAGCTGGGTGGCAGCAGCACTGTTCCAGACAGAAAGAACAGCAAATGCAAAGACCCTGAGAAAGAGGGTAAAGTATGTGATAGTCAAAAGCCAGAAAGGTAACTAACACACACTGCATACTGTGAAGAAAGCACTGCAAAAAGGAAAATAAGAAAGGTCATAGATTTTGTTACAATAAACGCAGAGTTCTGATTTGGGACCTAGAACAGTACTATCGAACAGGATTTCCTGAGATGTTACACATGTTCTACACTTGTGTTCCCCCATTTGGTATCCACAAGGGGCTACTGAGTATTAAGACTATGTCTAGGGTGACTGAAGATTGATTTTAATGTTTTTTGTCTTTTTGAGACAGCGTCTTGCTATGCAGTTCTGGATGGCCTTGAACTTACAATGATCCTCCTGCCTCAGCCTCCTGAGTGCTGGGATTACAGGTGTGCATTCCCACACCCGGCCTACAAGATTTTTTAGTATTAATTGAACTTAAAATTAAATAGTCACATGTGGTTAAAGGGTTCCATATGTGAGAATGCAGCTCTAAGTAAAGACTGGTCCATCTGCACAATGGAACACAGCACAGCAAAGCCAAGGCTGTAAGCAGAACAACCGCGACAGAAGATACTGGGAATCCAGGAAAAAATAACCCTTGAGAAGAAAAGGGTTATTATTAGAAATACAGATATGAATGAGAATAAGGAGAAATCAGGGCAAAGTTGTAAATTTAGAGAATAGAAGACGAGGGCCTACTACTCATTTGCACAACACTAAGAATTGTATTTCCAATGACCTTCATCACAAGTGCTCCCTCCTTAATAACAATTTCTGGACAGCACTTAGTAACTGGCATATGATGACGTAACTAAACATTTTATGCCAGAAAGGCACAGTCTGATATTTCCTCAGGTCCCTGCTGGTTGTCTACCGAAACAAAAGGGCAAATTAAAAGTATGAACACCTTTTAGGGTCTGTGTGTCCATCTGGGCTGACACTAAGCAGGACGCGAGGTTGAAGAAATTTTTGGTCCAACTGGTGGTCTAATTTTGT